CGTATTTAAAAGAACTCGCCAAGGAATTTGTTTTTGTCCCGGCTGATAAGGCTGACAATAATGTCATTATTGTTTGACGTAAATTTTACATTGAAGTTCTGCAAAAGGAAATCATGAATTCACCAATATTCTAACTAACTCCATTTTCTGAAAATGACATCTGTAACAAACACAAACGTTTAGCTACCTCTTTACAAGCAGAACCGAATAACATGAACGTTCCAACTATATACTGGCTTCCAAAGCTGCATAAAACACCTTACAAATATAGATTTATTTCGTCTTCAAGCCATTGTTCCACTACTAAACTGTCTATTCTACTTACTAGTACATTTGGTACAATCAAAATCCTGGTAATAAATTGTTCAAAAAAGGCCTTGGAAAACAGTGAAATTAATTACTTTTGGAGTGTCAGAAATTCGTTGGAAGCTCATATTGGTGATTTCGAATCTGTTCAAAGTTTTGTTTGTTTTACCCTATATACCACTTTGCCTCATAATCTCATTAAGAAAAATTTTACACACCTAATTAAATGGGCATTTAAAAAGTCAGTAAGGGAATATATATGTTCAAACTATTTTAGGTCATTTTAATAACAACAAACCAAAAGAACTATGTGAATTGAACCTACTTTGATACGATAACTGCACTTGAATTTTTACTGGATAACATTTTTGTTCGCTATGGAGATTTCGTATATCGTCAAGTTATCGGAATTCCAATGAGGACTAACTGTGCACCACTTATTGCGGACCTGTTTCTGTATTTTTACAAGTTACAATTTATGACTAAAATCAGCAAAGACCCATCAAAATAACATCTGATACAAAAATTTAATAACACTTTAAGATATTTGGATGATATATTGGATCTCAATAATGACTACTTCAGTATGTACACAAAAGAGATTTATCCTGCTGAACTGACTTTAAATAAATCTAATGTATACTAACAATGAACACTGTCTTTTCCTGGATCTTCATAAATTATCTATATCTTTAACGGGAAGCTTAATATCAAAATTTCGATAAAAGAAATGATTTTTCATTTCCTATTGTTAATTATCCATTTTTAGATGGTGACGTTCCCTTGTCACCCACCATCTTATGGTGTTTATATATCTCAACGTTTTCGATTCGCTCGTGTATGTAACAACGTATATGATTTTAACGAAAGAAATCTCGGTATTACTGAAAATTTATTACACCAGGGTTTTCGATATCACAAACTTGTCAAAACATTTACTAAATTTAATCATCGGTACAAGGACACCATTCGTAAATATAAATCGACGTGCAGACATCTTATATGTTTAGGTATTTCACATCCAATCTTTTTTAATTTTATGGTAATATTCTATACAAAGCACAAAAATGTCGTCATTCACCTCAAAAGCTAACCAAACCTTTAAACAGACTTATTCAGAACGGATATAGTTACGATACGGGTTATGTTCTTCTCGTATATTTTATGATGTTATGATACTGAACCCCTAACGGGAGAGATTTTGCTTGATTTTCATATGATGCTCACCGGCGAAAGAAAATCAAATTCTAGGATTATCCTAAATAAATAATCCATATTCGGTATTTAAACTCGACAAAACTATATAGAGTAAAAAATTACAACAACTGACCACATGGTCTTTAATATATTTTTGTTTTGTTCAATGATCAATGAATAATATCACCAATACACCAAGTTATGAGATGCAATTTTCGAAGACATATGAAGGACAACGTCAAATTAGGTAATTGTATTGCTTTTAACTGGATATTTTAATTTATCGCACCTCTGATAAATTATGACGTTATGATTGGTTTAACGCCGTCACGTGGTGACCCCTTATGGTTCCGTATTGGGTCAGTAGATTTCATATGGGGTTCATGACGTCGCGATGGTGACGTCATCGATTAATGTTATTTTTTTTCATTGCTTACTTTTATACATAACTTAGCAGGAAAAATCCCGTGTGTGATATATTCGTTATACGGTTCACTACTGACCCCTACGGATTCATAGAGGGTTAGTAAAATCCATAGGAGATTCGGACTTCGGCCTCATCCCCTATGAATTTGACTAACCCTCTATGGATCCGTAGGAGGTCAGTAGCTAACCATATAACTTATATTTTGTGGTAATATATTAATTTAAATAAGATATCTTAACACGTAGATTAGAATTAGACATTTGAATTTTGTACCTCCAGGATAAAAATAATGTTAAAGTATTGTAATTCAGGTTGCATTTATGTTTCCTATGGTAACGTATTTGTTGCATGCCTTGAACAGATACGTTACATCTTTTATTTTATTGGTTTCGATTAAGTTTTAAGCGTTACGCTTACTTCTTTTTTCAAATATTATATATTTAAAGTTTATTTATAATTAATAGGTCCAGAACCTATATAACAGAGTTTTTAATATCAAAGTCGTTTTCTCAACAGATACGTGATCTGTTCATATCCAAGTTGAAAATAAGATAAGTTATATAAACAGTTGAAAAAATATATGAAATTAACAAGGGCAGTTGTTGATAATTGATATTTTAACATATTTGGATTAATATCTTGATACATGTTTTATTAAGAACAATTAATTGTAATGTTTTTTTGTCTTCACAGTTGTATTTAATCAAGATAAGGATTCAAGAACAAAATATAAACTTTTCAGAGTCTTTCATCAAGATTTATGACTATTAATAGAATCTTATGTACCTCTAGAATAGTTTTGGAGGAAAAAATTGAATCAATGCCACTTTGTATGATAAGGTAATAAAACATGACGGTAACGTATCTGTTATGTGGAAAAAAGTTACCAATAGTCTTGACCATCGATAATATTTTTACAGTAAGAGCTAAGATCAACCACTTTGGAATCTGTCAGATCATATATATATATATGAACCATTTGCGCATAATTAAATGTTTGTTTACACAAATTTATTTTCCAAGTATAATTTTGGCAAATGGTCCCAATTTGCGGAGATTTAAAAAATAAAAATAACCATGTGCCTAAATTCGCAGAGAGTTTGAGACAGTAGTTATTTAGATAAAGAATATTTAATAGATAGTTATGTTATCCGACAATTGTCCCAAGTACAGGCATACATTGTAGCAATTTCGAATGTCATGTTTTTCAAATGGAAAAAAACTGAACTTGTAGTGAGATGAAAGTTTGGGCTTCACGTTGAAGGCCTCATTTTGAACAACAATAAAATTGTAGTTACTTTGCTTTTTGCTTTTTCATGAGTTGATACACCATATCCGTTGTATCCCATTTTATTAAATCTATTTTACTTCCCAACAGTATCACAACATCTTATAATATTTTCTTTTACATATACACTTAATAAATAACGATAGAAAATGTTTTTTTTTCTCGGGCAATACAATGGTCCTATTTTATATATTGCCGTTTTGTTTTCATGATCAAATCAACATATTTGCAAGTCATAATTTCACTGCTTACAAACTTTAGATTTCTTAGAATTTATTTGTATAGTACGTAGTACACCATTTTTTAACGGTTTTCATGAATCCTAGCAAAGTAGTATTTAACAAAAATCACATACACATTAACTTTTTTTCTCGCAAAAAAAATAAAGAAAAAAAGAAAATGAAAGTGACAGTTTGAAGTAGATTTCCTCGGGGTTTGGACAATGAATAAAATAACACTTTATAAATTGGTACGTATGATACGTATATGAAAATTAATGGATAGTATAATCGAGAAGAAAAATGTTGATATTGACATTTTGCGAGAAAAAAATACTTAAATCTTGATCATGTTTCTTTATTTGACAATCCATCGATTGTATTTACATTTGGTTGAACAGCTTGTTATCACTGAAGGTTGTATAGAGCCATAAAATAAATTTCAAAGGACCATGTAAAAATTAATCACCAGAGATAACCATTTACTCCAGGCTCACAATACACTATACAAGAACTTTAAAAAAGATATCCGACGCATTAAGATTTGAATCTATAAAAAAAAAATGTATTACCTTTTGATCATATGAAATTGAGTATAATTTTTTTTATTAATTTTTATTATTTATAACTTCCAAGTTACAGCATAATATACACAAATATAATAGCAATATATTATATATAAATCTATTAATATTATCTAATCAATACATCTTTCTTAGGAAGCTTTTTTTTCTAAATATACGTATATAAGATAGAGAGTAAGACAATCTGAACACCATAAAGAGAGAGAGAGAGAGAGAGAGAGAGAGAGAGAGGTGTGGTGAGTTTACAATACAAATTCATCTGCACATTGAATTATAATTATTTTCATTTATAGCAGTAGAAATATATCCTTTAACTAAGTAATTTATCAAAAACATTCCATTGAGTATAATTTTACTGTTATCATGGTTATAGTCTAAAAATTGAGACAAATTAAAACAAAATGTAATACTGTTAATGTGTAACCAGTGGCGTAGGAGTAAACTGAAAAGTGTGGGGAGGGTTGAAAACTTCAAAAAGTGACAAGAAAAAAAAACACTTTTTCTATAGTTTAATAGACAAGAAGATTGGCAGTGTCCCCTTTTCATTTTTCATTTTATAATATCAAACTGTTTTGGCGCCCACTCCTACGCCCCTGTATGCAACACATAACAACTTGAAATAAACAAGTTTTTATACCGACAGTTACAGAATTTTCACATCCATATCTTTTTTAAACGATACAACTATTTGAAACAAATGAATGCCAATGATACGTATACAAAGATAGATTTTACAGAAGCAAACCCTTTTGCAAAGTACAACGAACGGACGCCGAAGGGAAATTATCTACAAAACACCTTTCAAAAAGTAATAAAATATGTGCCTCTAGTTATATTAATTTCTATATTATATTTTCAAGCAATTTTCTTTTGATCTCAATCTACCATGTAATCTAAAAATTATTGATTATTAATAATTGATATGTCAACATGTGTTCGTTATCTAAATAATCTTTTTTCTTCTTTTCGTGATCCTCAAGGAAAAACTTTTATTTTTGAATTATATATGATACTGGAATCTGTTTTCCACACGAGTTTCGTAATAGCATTTTACAGGTAAGATCATAATGATATAAGTTAAGCTACTTGTAAGAACACAGTACAGTCTTTCCAATGCGATGTTCCCATTACATTCCAATTTATTTTTTTTTTTTCATTCGCTTGCATTATTGAAGCGTCTAAATTAATTTATTTAAATCATGTTTGATATTTGTAGCAAGCTATAAGCAAAATATAGAATAATCAAAACAACACATTAGGTAATCTAAAGTTAATTATCTTACCGTCTGCCTTTTTCTTACTTCGTCAAAAATCCTTTTCTCATAATCCAACATTTGATCATCATCATGATTGATAAAATGATGAAAGATAAAGATATCATTTGTACAAGTAATTTATGACTAGCTATACATCGATGCTTTTATAGATATAAGAAGATGTGGTATGAGTGCCAATGAGACAACTCTCCATCCAGGTCAAAATTTATATATAAAACCATTATAGGTGAAAGTACGGTCTTCAACACGGAGCTTTTGTATTTATTTATACTTTGGTTTTCCTTTTGCTTAAATATAAAAATAAGGAGATATGGTATGATTGTCAATGAGACAACTATCCAACAAAGTTCAAATGAAGTGGATGTTCGTAAATTATAGGCAACCGTACGACCTTCAACTATGAGAAAAACCCATACCGCATAGTTGTCTATAAAAGGCCCCGACTTGAAAAATATGAAACAATTCAATTGAAAAAACTAACGGCCTAATTTATCACAAAACAATTTACGAAAAACAAATCTGACAGACGTTAACCAACGACAACCACTGAACTACATGCTCCTGACATGGGATATGGCGGGGTTATACATGTGAGCTCTCAACCCACCCCCTAACCTGGGACATTGGTGTTACAGCACAACATAAAAAGAAACTATAAAAATCAGTTGAAAAGGGCTTAACTCATCAAATCGATACAAAGCAGAAAACATTTAACAAAACACAGACCGGACGTGGCAGGGTATTTGTACATCCCTCACAACAAAAAAGACACAAAGGACAGATCTGAGAGTACTCGCAGTTGCTGACAGCTAGTTCAAAGCCTAGTTAGTCTTATTGTAGTATTTTTGCCTTGAGTGTCGCCTAGGAAGTTTGATGTTACTTTTTGCGCCTTGCGAGTCACTTTTTTTCCTCACTTAGATAGTCTTATGGTAGTGTTTTCGACTTTATTGTCGCCTAGATAGTCTCAAGTACTGTTTTCGCTTTTTGTGTCGCCTAGGTAGTCTCATGGTAGTGTTGTAGCCTTGAGTGTCGCAAAGTTAATTTCCATTTTCCATGGATAAAGTATTGTGTTAGTCCAAATAATTATGACGTCGTCACAGCATTTATTTAAAATAGCCTTTCAATACCGTCATAGTCATGATAATTGTTTGGACTACTATTGTGAAAATAATTGTATGAATTTCAAGATTATATATTCGTTACAAAAATACGTCCCTGTTTGTGATGTCCTGTGCTGTCGTTAATGGAAGATGTTCGTTGTTATTCTGCGGTTTACATGTTGTAACGACTATTATATTATTTATTTGTGCGTTTCTCTGTGCTGAGTATTCTTGCGTTTGTTTGTGCTGTATTTCTGTCACGTAGGTAGTGTTGTCATTTAGCGATATTTTTTAACATTGCCATATAAGCGGGAGGTTTGGCTAACCATAAAACCAGGTTCAACACCCCATTTTTTCTTAAAATGGCCTGTACCAAGTCAGGAATATGGCAGTTGTTATCAAATAGTTCGTTTCTATGTATGTTGGCATTTGATTTTGTTGCAAACCAGTGTTTCTGTTGTTCCGTTGTTTTCCTCTTATAGTTGATGTGTTTTCCTCGATTTTAGTTTGTAACCCGGATTTGTTTTCTCTCAATCGATTTATGACTTTTGAACAGCGGTATACTACTGTTGTCTTTATAGGTTAGTCTTTTAACCTTAAGTGTCTCCTAGGTAGTCCTATGGTAGTGTGTTTGCCTTGTGTGTCGTCTAAGTAGTCTCATAGCAGTGTGTGTTTTCGCCTTGAGTATAGCATAGGAAGTCTCATGGTAGTGTTATTGCAATGAGTGTCGCCATGGTAGTGTTTCGCCTTTAGTGTGGCCTAGGTAGTCTCATGAAAGTGTTTTCGCTTTGATTGTCGCTTAGGTTGTCTCATGGTAGTTTTTCGCCTTGAGTGTCGCCTAGGTTTTCTTAGGACTGTGTTTTGCCTTCAGTGTCGCCTTCATTAGATCCATGGTAGTTTTTTTTTACCTTGAATGTCGCCTAGTTAGTCCTATGGTAGTGTTTTTGCATTGTGCGTCGTCTAGGTAGTCTCATAGTAGTGTTTTGCCTTGAGTATAGCATAGGAAGTCTCATGATAGTGGTTTTGCAATGAGTGTTCACTAAGTAGTCCCATGGATGTGTTTTCGACTTAAGTGTAGTAAAAGTTGTTAGCTCATTTTCATGCTTTGTCACTAGAAATGAATAATAAGCAACATAGACCCGTCTTTGTCTTAACTTACGTCCTCTAGACGCGGTAGAATATGCTCCTGAATAAATAATACTTTTCGGGCTGCTGATGGCCTGAAAACGAAAATTATCGGTGTTCCCACTGTCTGTATCACTCTGCTCAGCTCTTCATAAAATTGTATATTACGGCTTTGTGACGTCAAGTACGTTAACCCGGCCTAAATAACTTTGACCCGAACCTATCAGTGACGTCAAAATGAATAAACCAACGTTGATAAGTTTGACCCGAAATTATCAAGTCATCTTCCGGTTAGCTGGTGAAACAAAGAAAAAAAAATAGTTTCTTTCGTGCAAAATACACAAATATAATCCGATAAATCGTTTACAGATTTTTCATAATATCTATATTAAAAATGTCAGCTTCTGACTCAATATGAATCCTTTTTGAACTCGTTCGTTGCGTTCACTTGACAAAAAAAATCATATTGTGACGACTCGCAGCTGATATCTTACAATATCAACATGATAATTTACAATATCAACATGCAGACAACCTGATAATCAGTATTTAGATTGTGATATCATTTGTGAGAATTATAATTCGTAAAGTTGAATCAAGTCATGATTTTGCCCGTATATCTTTCGTACGGATCATCGATTCATTCAGAACTGCAAGTTCGCCCATTGTAAACAGTTCAGCTCTTAATAAAACCTTTTAAGTAGCGTCTCTGTTATTAGAAATTATCATGGAAATCTTGACCGGAAACGCAGACTCTGGAATAACGCATAATCACATATACTTGACTAGCCATTTCTCTCTTTCAGGAAATGTAATTCAAACTTGTGGTAATGAAGTAAGTATAAAACTTGTCCCAATGTCCCAGCTGGTTTTTGAAGAATAAACTCAACTTTACCGAACCATTGGTTATTTGCATCTCAATGAAAATTATCCTTTTTTTTAAACAAATTACCTGAAACTGAACAGGCAACTCGTTGAATTTTGTTTCAAAGTTTCAGTCTTTTTACGAAATGACTAGGTATTTTTAGTCCTTTGTTCATAGAATGCATATCAAGGTTAGGGATTTCATAAATTGCCTGAAATTCGTTCATTTTACAAAATGCCTTAATTTAGAAAATGCCTCTAAAATATATATATATATATATATATATATATATATATATATATATATATATATATAGTTTTTTTCACAATGATATTGTACCTCCATACGTCTGGAAATGTCATGGCGGGTCACATATAGGAAATGAATACTCCCGAAGCAGGTACTGCAAGAATATTGCAACATAAAAACGAAAAACTAATCTCACCGTAAAGCTATGTTTGTGTTTAATGTACTATCTTCAGTATCGAGTCAAGGCTTTTGATAGACAGTTTTTTTGTGGTCCATTTACTCATTTAGCCTTAATAGATATGAAACTTAACATCTATAAAATGTATAATCTGTTGCTATGTTTCTGACAACTTTTAATTAGACGAACCTCCTGAAAAATCTAAATTTATTCTGTTCTTGTGTTAGCTCGCATTTTCCTAGTACGATAATAGTTATTTTTCCTTTTAATCATATCAATCATCCATTAGTAATGTATAGAGTTATAATTTCATTACAAATGTATTTTGTATTTTTATTGAAAATAAGTTACGATTAGACTTTCATTTACTGTGCATCTGTTTCATTCTATTTGCCAATTAGTTCATCAGAAACTATTATTTGACTAAATATGTGTATTTGAAGGAGTCTGAACATGTTGGCAAGTATGTGTTTTTGCTTATCTTGTTTTCAATATCACATTTAAAATATTGATAATATAGATACAGATTTTTTTTTAAATTGAATTGGTTTATATCTCATGTCGAAGTTAAATAAGGACCTTCTTGTATTGCAGATAAGAAAAGAACCCAGTTTGATTGTAAATGGTATGATGGCTCGACGCTCTTTCTTAATGATCATAACTTGGTGTGGTATTTTCACCACGTTGAATCTACTGCTCATGTTTAAGGGTAAATAATATTTGGATGATTCATGAAGATTTCACCCTTTTGATTGCTAGACAAAAATCTCGTGGCATAATAAATTATTTCTCAATAAAACACAACACCCCTTAATTATCATAATCATAATTTGATTTCCCATGAGGAAATAAGTTTTTCCTCAAATGGAATTTGTAAAGGGTCATAACTCCTCCAACAGTGGTGCTAAGCCCAAAATCTTTGAAGGCAAATCTCAGGGAGCAAATACCATGTTAGTAAATAACTTCATTTTTCTGTAACTATGAAAATTAATGTGTCAACTTTTGCACGCATTGGAATCGCAAACTGTTCCCGAACAGTGTTTGTAGTTTTTTGTTTTGGACGTTAAGTCACTTTTTGTGTTGTTCGTGGTTTTACCAGTTGTATGATTTTGCTGATACCGATTCAATCCTTCCTTATAGGTATTTTATTTTCTAATGAAACAACTGCGGTGACATTAACCTGCTCATTTACAATCGTTTCTTTTTGTAGGAGTAATGGCTAGTCAATAGAAAGGCATATCCTTTGTAATTAAGTGCGAGGTACTTTGCAATATTTGTCATGTTACTTTCTTCTAAGGCAAAATAAGATTATAAGTCATATTTGATTAGTCACAATCGAGGACGAAACTTAGAGGACATAATTATGGTTACGCTCCGATGATCATATCCGTTGTCATCTGCGAAACATATTTTCAATAACGGTCAAACAAATCATGATGGTGTAAAACGTCTGAAGGAATCACACTTCAATTTTACCTTTTGAAGCCCTTGGTGCAATAGCTTCATTGTAATCAGTAAGTAACATTCTATCAATGGAATCCGGATAGGGAGAGCCCTGGAATATCGTATCAACTATGAGATATATACTCCATATGCAGGCACTGCTTGAATTTGCTACATCGCCTGATTTATACAAATAAAGGAACGGCAAGCAGAGGGTCCCAATAGGCATGCCAATTATCTGTTGAAAAACGTCCTCCAAACTTAACAAATAAGTCGTCAATAAACTTTTTTTATTTGAATCAGCATGTTTGGTTTACATAGAAGATCTGTCCCTTCCTTAAACAAGATATGTGTATCTACGTTGACCATCTGAATTATGAAACAAAGATTGACAAATTCTTCAGTTTAGAATGAGGAATACTTTTAGAAAGAGTAGAGAGGTCAAATGTTTTTAAACTATTGCATGAGGAGAGGGACTTAGATTGTAAGTGCTCTTCCAAAAGAACATAAAACCAAACATTTGACTTAACTATATCTATTGGTTAACGGTGTAAGACATCGTGTTAAGGAGTGGGTATTTGACTTAACTATATCTATTGGTTATCGGTGTAAGATATCGTGCTAAGGAGTGGGTATTTGACTAAACTATATCTATTGGTTATCGGTGTAAGATATCGTGTTAAGGAGTGGGTATTTGCGAAGAATACCAATTGTGACAAGATATTTCCTTCATCTATAAAGCTTGAAGACTAGGAAATTCAACCGTATCTCGACTGGTTATTTTGTAAATACCCCTCCTGTACATGAAATGCGGCAACTACACTAAATAAAAGTTATTTCGAAACCATGATTGTAGAATTGTGTTAAAATATCTGTTAGCCCATGTTATTTGAAATATATATATCCAATTTTGTCTTTCTTTTATAACTGTTTGAAGAAATTGCATATCGAAAATATTGTCACACTGATATTTTATTTCTTATAGCTGATGCAATTGACCGCAATCTACCTATTTTGAACAATCGATTTTCAAACACACACGTCTACTCATTGTCACGGGAAATTTCAATAAAGACTTTTCATTTTGTAAATATATCGATTTTAATTAAAAAATGAAAGGAATGCTTTTACTAACTAAAGATGATTATAAGTTGAAAGATGTTAAAGGAATGCTTTTACTAAGATGATTATCAGTTGAAAGATGTTAACAATAATAAATATTTTTTCTGTATATAGTTTGTGCTGGGTATAGGTCACGAGCATTTCATCCTGAACTATTTATGAAATTGCTGTATGAAATCTTCTATGAAGTGTAGAATGGCATGATTTCTTATTAACCGACTAATTCATTTTCGTATTTTTGAGAATTTAAGTAACACATGTAGATTTATGACAATGTATTTGACTTTTTATATATTTAACTCGCATTTTCGAAAGATTTAAGTTTAGAACAACTGTTGACTGAAGTAGAGAGATATGGTCATCGTGACTACACAACACAATAGGTGCCACATGTGGAGTAGGATCTGATTTACCCTTCCGCAGCACCTGAGATCACCCTTGGTTTTTAGTGGGGTTCATGTTGCTCAGTCTTTAGTTTTCTATGTTGTATTTTGTGTACTGTTGTTTGTCTTTGCGTCTTTTTTTTTTTGTCATGGCGTTGTCAGTTTATTTTCGACTTATGAGTTTGAATGTCCCTTGGGTACCTTTCGCCTCTCTTTTATTAATCCCGATTATTTCACCTTCTAATAGATGTATTTCTACTTTAAAATTATTTATCCTTCATACGGTTGCATTCAAATATTTGGCGTGTAAGAAATTTTGGTGTGGTCTTAGAAAAAACTGAATTATATAGACCGTGTTGTATTACAGTTTTACCTTATAGACTACTCTTCCACATAATCTGATCTGAAACATGATCTCACGTAATAAAAAATAATTTAGTAAACTTATTGATTTGCCTCTTCATAATTCATATAGTGTAATAATCAACTGTCTATTTTTATTTTCAAATGTATCATTTTGTCTGGACACGAGCAGACATGATTAAAGCTATGAATTTCTTGGGTGACAATATTTGTTTTCCTTATGGCAAGATTTTATGTCGTCATAAAAAAAAAGTCTTCAAAGATATCAAGCTTATAAGTATGAAGGCCGGCCGCGCGTTTCGTCTACAAAAGACTCATCAGTGAAACTCGATTCAAATGTTCGCAATTCTTATGAGTACTTACTGCACGCTTCTAGTTGCAGATCTATCTTTTTCTGTCATGGGAAGACTCCAGAAAGAGGAAATTAAAAATTCTAACGAAGTAGTAGACAGTAGCTATCTTAGCTAGCTTCCTAAAATAGCGAATAGCGATTACACGTTGAATCTGTGGTCTCAAGTTCGAAGGTGTCATTTTATTGGTAGCTGCACTGTGCCGATTTATATTGTGTGTTTTAATTTTACGACTTATATACGTTAAACTTATTTCCTTCATGTAGGTAGAATGTCATGCTCTCTCCATGTTAAAGAACCCTTTTGAAAAATGCTTAGTTGGTACGCTGCAAGGAAAAATCGTACATTGTCTAATTTACATTTACAAGTATGCACAGTACATACTTATCAGATTGATTTTTAATTTGTCATAGTACCGAATGTGCATGAAATAATTGACATTGAACGTAAATAAAGCAAATCGACCAATCAGTGTATCAATCTATTATATTAGCTAATCCCATTTACCAGTGAGAGGTTTATGTAGCTATAAAACCAGGTTTAATCCACCATTCTCTGTATTACTGTACCGTTGTTTCCCATTCGTTTGGTGTGTTTGAGCTTTTGATTTTGCCATTTGACCGTTAACTTTCCATTTTGAATTTTCCTTGGAGTTCGGTATTTTTGTTATTTTACTCTTTTCACGTGAGATATATTGATTCCTTTAATTTGCCTATTGTCAGATGTTTATAATTCATTCTTATTTCATTTTTCTCCTTCATTCAGATATAAAAACCACGAGGGAGTATATGATGCTTTACCTCAGTAATATCAAGATCACTACAAACAACTTTTCTTACGTAATGAGATATGAAGATCATAAAAAAAAGGTGAGAAGCATATGATCTACATGCTGTACAAATGGGGTTTCGTTTTCTTTGGTTAGATTATTCCTTAATGAAATAGAATGAAAAAAGACCTATCTTCCAAAATAGTTTACTCTCTTCCCTTTGAACTTGCCTCTCTACTATGCAATTTTACTGGTTAAATAATATTTTTAGTTTGCATTTATTATGTTTTTGGTCAACATACGCTAGAAAACCAGTTTTTATCTGAAACGGTCAATTTGATCCGACCAACTGTCAAAAGACTGAACAATAAATTATTAAATCATTTTCAGTCTTTCTGTGCATTTTTAGACTTATCCATTGCAATTAATCCAGTACTGTTTAGACAATTCGCTTGCAGTTAATCTGTTAAGGCTATGGTAAGACTGCTCTGTAGCTGTTATTTATCTGTTCACATCAACATCATGCTGAATTGTCAGAAAAGAAAAGCTACTAAACAGTAATGAATTGACTGCAACAGAATCGTCTGAACATTACTGAATTTACCACAAGTGTAAGTTTGCAAATAGACTGAAAGACTGAACATGACGTCATTTAATATGATTAAGACTTAATTCATTTACAAGTGATTATTTTAAAAATGTATTAACGTTAACAAGCTATTAAGTAATTCGACGACGACGGACAAAAAGTCTTGCATGAACTGATATGGCATTAACACACATGTTCCATGCTTTATTATTTATTTTGCTTGTGTTGAAATCTCTCCCTCTCAGTCATGGATTTAACTATTACAAATACAACAAAAAAGATTATAAAAATCCGAAAAAAGATATGTATATCAACTAATAATCCATGAACACAACAGACGACAAAATAAACGAATACACCATTGTTTTACACATCATTCAAACTACTTTTTGTTTGTGTTTTATTCTAAATTCATCTTCTTATTATTTATTATTTATGATTCTTTGAGGTAATAACATGGAAAATTGCTAACTGTCGTTATTCTTCATGTGCGTTAAATTAGTGAAAATAAGTACACGATGTCAAACATTTTGTTTTGTAAAAATAACTTATTATAAAAAGAATATATTAAACAGCTGACTGGACGCGTAGTTTTATCAAATGTTAATCAATATTTGTTACTTAGCATATTTATAATATTTTTTTGAGTAAACCATTTGAAGCAACGTAACTGGCAGCTATGAGGTCGTTTTGAAAAAAATAATTGTCATTATAATTTCGTATGTGTTGTTTTATTTAAAAGTGATATATTGTACCTTTTTGTGTGGAGAGGGCTTTCATAGGCTTGGTCTGTTGCTCAAACCAATTCAATTCATTTAAATAAAATATTGTTTAAATTAAATTGGAAGACAAAATAAGAAGTTATATAACAAATAAACAAACAAATATGTTTTTATAGTTGTGTAGTTGTTTTATACATTAATACAATTTGGAAAGCATGTATTCATTTCTAAAATCGAATTTGTTTATCTGGTAAATAAAGGCAACAGTAGTATACCGCTGTTCGAAACTCATAAATCGATAGAGATAAAAACAAATCCGGGTTACAAACTAAAACTGAGGGAAACGCATCAAATATAAGAGGAGAACAACGACACAACAAAAACACAACATTAATATGCAACTATGCCTTATTTCACTTTAAATAATAACCAAATCAATTCTTAACGAGAAAAAATATCAAGAACCAAACAACAATATTGAACATGCAAAAAGTAAATTAACAAAAATACCGACCTCCAAGGGAAATTCAAACCGGAAAGTCCCTTATCAAATGGCAAAATCAAAAGCTCAAACACATCAAACGAATGGAACCTGTCTTTAGAAGCTAAGGATAACAAAATTTAAACGATAATAAATGATGTTATTCACAACAGGGGAGTCCTTAATTAATATGCTTCCTTAACTGGCTTATGGCCTACACATATTTACAAAAAAGACATTTTCGTACACTACTACAGCTACTACTGCTACTACATTTATTTATTTATATCTTTTAGAACATCCAAAGTACAAAGATTAAAGAGAACTCATTGAAAGATGGTTACCAGTTTCCAAAACATCTATGTTATTCAGAAACATTCAATGAAAGCAAAATGAATGCAGTTTTTAAGGGCAGTATAATGCCAATATACAAGCACCAGCTTGCCTATTGTAGAGTTTATAAGGGAGGATCGACATTTTGGAGACGTCTTCTTCACTGCTTAGACAAAGACTTAAAAGTATCCCCTTTCAGTATAAAACCACAAGACGAAAAGGGAAAATATCGTCGTACTTGTGCAATGAATAGCATGAACTGGACATATAACATGTTAAGAGTAACAAAAAGTTTCATGTTCGCCAGAAATCCTTATTCCCGGATTTTGTCAGCGTATATCGATAAATTGTATTCACCTAATCCGTATTTTTGGAAAACGCTTGGTGTCGTCGTTATGAAAACAATTCGTAATAAAACCTCGTGTGGAAGTGATGTTACGTTTAGAAGTCTGGTAGAGTACATCATTCAAACACCAATAGAAAATTTGGACGATCATTTTATTCCCATAAGTTCTATATGTAGACCATGCAATGTCCAATATCATTATATTGGCAAAATGGAAACTTTTCTCAATGATACTATGAATATTTTTGATAAATTTGGAATAAACTCAACGCCTTACATAACACATAATTTTAGCGAACATTATAAATTTGATGCCATATATGATACTGTACAAGCTGTAATTGCTTTTCGACAACAGTCTGATAGATGCATGAGTCGGTATACTGGATTGAAACGAATTTGGAGGAAGCTACAGACAAGGGGCATAATTTCGGAGAATTATTCGTTCCCCTTAAATGAAAAAGAGTCTCAATACATATCATTATCAAAATTACTTACAATTATTTTGAAAACACACAAAATATCAAACAAGGAGGATCTGTTGATACAAAGACAGAAAATGTTTATTCAAGCGTATAATAATATTCCTATTGATTCGATGTACAAACTACAGAATGTGTATAAAAATGACTTCAAATTGTTTGGATATGAACCTTTTCCAGATTCGTTATTTGGACAACGTTCCAACAAAATGACTGATATTTTTCTGCCATAAAGTCAAAGGTAGTGTGTTTAAATCATTTAAAAACGGGACAAAAGCAAATTAATGATCATTTGCACATTTACATATGAATGCAGACTCAAAGCAAATACTTAATTTGATGAAATACTGCAATCAATGATCTTTAAATGTTAATAGTTTGCATTAAAGTTAATGTTAAAGTTTAATTAGATTCATTTATTTATTACATTAAGTTAAAAGAAATAAAACCTCTAAGTTGTAGCCCTTTTGTTTTCGTAGTTCAATTTTGCAATTTTAAGCATTCATAGCTATACATTTTGTCTTAAGTTGAAATATAGTCACTGCATGTCAAAACTATATCATGTCCTGGCTGGTGCTGAAAAATTTAACATACCTTTACCTGCATATTAGATACGAGGCAGTTTGGTAGTACAAAAGCAGTACTTCTGATCTGAGCAACATGGACAAATACCCCCTCTTATTTTAATTTCATATGTTTTCTTTATAATCCAAACCGAGCTTTCAACTAGGGTTCTATAGTGATCAAAGTGCTTTCGCTTTTATTTGATACCGACCTTCCCAAATTATTTTACTTAAAGTTAAAGCGATGCGTAGGAACTATTTTGTTTAAAATTAGTACTACTAACAATTAAGATATATTTTTAACACACTTAATTGCAACATCAACTGTATTAAAGTTAATTCTATAGCTCTAATGACAAACTGTAAATTAGATTAAAAGTCAGAATGTGTTTATATCTGTCATGAAAAAAAGAACATTTCAGTTTGCAAGTTTGATATCATAGCACCTGCATATCCATTTATTTCACTATCTAACAGAAAATGATTTATTTCTTAAATTTGTTTAAGAGGTACGAATTGAGTAGTCCAAATGTTTGTAGATTGGAACAAATGATAGTGTAAAGATATAAACCGTATAATATTTTCCTGAACAAAAAGTATTGATATATTCCTTTCTCGTTGTTCATACTTTCAATAAAAAAATGAATACTAAAAGAATTGATTAAAAATAAAATGACTAACACAATACATGACATCACAGACCCCTACCGCCAAAAAAGCCATGTTCTTCTAAACTATGGTCTTGATCATTCAATTTTGTAATCATAAAATCAAAATCAGCAGTTTATATCAATCTTAAAAGAACATCAACAAAGACCTTTTTGATAACATTTGATTCATTGAGGCTCAATACATGCAAAAGATTATAAGCAATGGTACGTTGTGTAGACACAAAAATTCCCTGATTGCAGTTTTACACTCATTTTGTAAAAAAGCGCGATATTTTCAATCCCTTGTATAAAACTTGAGCTATTTTAGTTATTGTTTTTGAGATTTTTATACGTTTATTCTATTTTACATTGTATAAACCAGGAAGAGTATTTTTTTCCTCTCGTATAAATGGTATAGTAAGAAAAATCAATAACAAAGAAGTGATATAACACAGGACAAGAACAAAAGAATTGGAACTCGATTTATATGCAATTAAAAAAGTCCCAGATCGAACCCAGCATTAGTTCGAAAAGTATGATATAAGCAAAATATTAAACAAGTAATAGTACTGTGCTCGTATACATTGACAAACGTCTGCAGCAGTGAGTAATTTTAAAACTTTTGTATCTTTCTGCCACTTTTCATGAAATCTTTCAGAGCAAACTTACAGTTTTTAGATTAAGGTCTATTGTTCGCATATAAAAATACCCTTTTTCGTTTTTCAATACTAAATGAGAGAAGAGGGTTATAATTGAAAGGGAGGTAATATGAATAAGATAATAAAGAAGGTAGAAATACAAAAGAATCCAATTCACTTAGCTAGATATAAATAGCGACTCCAAAGAGCCTGTGTCGCTCACCTAGGTAGGTGTGCATTTTCAACAATGGACAACCCCCAACATTGTAGACAAGAATAGAAATCATGACTAAAATTCCTTTTTGTTGATCTTGTATTGCTGATCATTTTTGCTATAAGAAGTTTCTCTTTATCTAGTATAGTTTTCAAGATAATTTCCAAAGATGAAAAAGTTGGTAAAATTCGTCATTTAAGGACAACTACTCCTGACAGTTATGACGTAAATGGACGACAGGGAGAGGTCAACATTTTTAATATTTCTGTTCCGTCAGATTGTCTCTGTTTCTGAAGCAGTTTTCAAAATAATAAACAAAACTTGCATTTTACCCGTATACTCTAAAAAAGAGAAGTTATATGATTGAAAATAAGATAACTATTCATCAGAGTTCAAATGAAGTTGATACAAGCAACTATAGACTACCGTACGGACATGTATGTATGAAGATATTGATGTTGGCATATCTTAATGGGATATCGAGTTTGATTAAAAGTTCTTAAGCAATTTGTACTTATTAAATGCAATAAATCATGATAATTATTAGCAATTAACATGTACTTCCGATTCTTTTAAAAAATCTTTGATATTTTAGATAAAATATGCACGAAAAAGGTTACGCCATAAGCTCTATACTGTCAGATACTATAAATCGTTCAAACCAAAAACATTATTGTTTAACAGTAATTCATTTTATACGAAAACATATTGCATTAAAAGCATTAGTAAGAAGTACAAAATTAATGGAGATGTACTTTAGCAGAGTTGTATTCAGTAAACATGTGTATCGTTTATAATGTAAAGTATAAATATTGCGCTTAAGAAAATAAAAATAATATTTTCTCTCTTTTGGTTTCAAGAATCTCTTGCATTTTCTATAATTAAGACTAGCAGTTCCCTTTTGTGTATCAAAACATCTTAAAAAAGTTAAGACTATAGTAAAGGGAAAATTCCTAATTAATTGTATCGATTGACATTTACCAGTCACGTGATTGAACCCAGAAAGTAACTTATAAACAACTGCTTGACACATCACCTGACCATTGGTCAAAACAGGAAGAAGGGTCATAATAAAAAATGTTGTAGACTATTATAAGTGGAAATATTTTAAAATCACTCTACTTTTTCGCCCGAAAGAAAGACTAGGTAGATGCCTGGACAAATAATTGCTTTTTCGACATCACCTTGAAATATTCAGTATCTGTCACTATTTGTGGATAACACGAAACTTATAATTATAAAGACAACTTGAAATGACAGCTATGCGCTTCCCAGTGTAGTGGAACTTTGGGATTGTTTAGCAGGATTGTATTATTACTGTCTGACCGACTACAATCTGCGGATATATTGTTTCTTCAAAGATGATGTTATTGTTTACGGAAATACTTATGAAGAACAATTAAAGCACCTCGTGTTTGAGATGGAGAGGATTAGACAAGTCAACTAGAAGCTAGCGCCAATGAAATGTTCACTCTTGAGGAGACGAGGGAAGTTTTTAGGACACATAGTGTCATATGTAGGAAAGGAGATTGACCCAGAAAAGATAGACATAGTGACTATTTTGTTAACATTAACATCACCAGAGGATGTCAGACGTTTTCTTGGGTTTGTAGGGTACTATAGAAAGAACTTCAACCAGATATTAAGTAGACCACTTACTAATTTGATGCCATCGCCTACAAACAAGAAAGGATGCAAAGGTAAGACAAGAAGTAGATAGCGCGGAAATAGGGACAAGCTCAAGAGACAGCTTTGTCACCTTGAAGCGACTTCTCACATTATCACGTATATTAGGATATGACGACTCAACCTACCATTTGAGCTGCACACTGATTCTTCAGGAATTGGATTAGGATCAGTCCTATTCCAGGAACGCCAGGGTGAGAATCGTATTACAAGCTATGCAAACAATTTAACGGCAGGCAGAGAAAAATAACCCGCCGCATAAGCTTGAATATTTTGGAATTTTTGGGCCATTACAGACATATTTAAAGATTACCTATATGGACAGCTGTTCACAGTATGGACAGACTAAAAAACCACTTCCATATGTCCTGACAACAACAAAACTTAATGTTACAGGCCATCTTTGGTTAGCAGACTTAGTTTTCTACCGTTTCACCATCAGGTACCGTCCCGAAAAAAACAACGCTGATGCAGATAGACTTATCGATTGCATTTAGCAGACGATAGAGCACATATCAACATAACCTCAGTACGTGCCATCTGTACAGCAAATGTATCAATTCCTTTTGCTGAGTGTCTAGCCATCAACCACAACCTTTTATTTTTTTTTAATATTTTATTTGTTTTCGGTAGTCAGGAGTTTACAATACCCTATAATCACCACCTGACTATGGTTGTTGTGGGTAAACATTGAATAATATGCACAAGACTATCCATTTATTTTAAAATTCATACAAGAATATAATTACTAAGAAAAAAGGCTACTCACATTCACATTTTCTCTCACTTCTAACATAAAGTAACTCGAATTGGTATGCATACATGGCAATTCATAAGGTAAAATGTTTAGTAGGCTTTGCCATGTGTAAACAACAAAATATGTCTTTCCAAAATTAGACGTTTCTTTAATCTTATCCTTTTGTAATGTAAATACTCTGTTACCATCAAACTGTTTAAGTTCTGCAGTAATACATTCTGCCAAGTACTGTCTGCATTTGATGAAAATCTCTTTATCCAAGATAACTCAAGATATGTTCAGAAAGACTGCAAATGCACCATATTTAATCCTCCTTGTGAAAAATCTACAGTAAGAGTACTACGCTTGACTCTATCAGTCGGTCCATTCCATATGCAATTAAAAAAACATAGTATTTAGGTCATTTAATTGTAACTGAGGTAAATTCTATAGAGGAGTAATAAACAAATGAACCAGTCTTGGCAGTTCTAGAGTCTTAATAACAGTGATTTTACCTAGTCATGTTAATTTTCTATGTTGCCAGCATTTTCTCCAATACAATTTAAATCAAGAGAAAAGTCTATTCCTAAAAGTTTTATGTGACCATATAAGATTATAATTAGGATATAATATGTGATCAGAATTTTTTCCGTTACCAATCAAAACAGCTCTTGTCTCTGATTTGTTCTTTTTTAATCCAGATAAAATATAAAAAGAATCAAAACAATTGATGCTTTCTTGTAGCGATTTCTCACTACCATATAATGTAAGAAAAGTATCATCTGTATACAGACCTATTAGTGTTTGTTTTCAATTGATAAGGAAACCGTGAATATTGGGGTTGTACTTAAGTCTCAAAGATAATAATTCTACATCAATTTCAAACAAATAAGGTTTGAGCGGGTCCCCTCGTCGGCAATCGCTTTCAAGATTGACATAAATAATAGCTGACCATTGTTGATTTATACAACTTGTATAGAGAGAACTAAACCATCTGCACATCGAAGGACTAAAATTAAACCTTTTTAAAGCTTTAAATAAAAAGATCTAGTCAACATAGTCAAACTTTTCGAAATCCCCAATTTTAATAAGACGCTCATATTGCAGTATTCAAGATATTACATCTTTATAAATCCTTTTCAAGTGTCTGAGATCACCCAGGTTTTTGATAGGGTTCGTGTTGCTCAGTCTTTAGTTTAATGTGTTGTGTTTTGTGTATTGTTGTTTGTCTTTTGGTCTTTTTCTTCTTGTCATGTCTTTGTCAGTTTATTTTCGACGTAGGGGTTGAATGCCTCTTCGGTATCTTCCGCCACTCGTTCACAAAATGTTTTAAAAAAAAATAATGAACAATTGTCATATACATGTGCAAGAGAAATTGTTAAAGCTGCACCTTCTTTTATCGGTTTAGATGCCATATTTGCCTACATAGTTTTAGATCAGGCGGTGCTTCTGCAGCTAAGGTTGGATACTTTGCTGACAATCTTGATAAACGTTTGTCAGTTTCTAGGAAACTTGGCATCTGACATGCTTTCTGTGTACACTCGAGGAAGGTCACCGTACCTGACAGTCTCTATAATGGCGTTTGTCTTTATTTAATACAGAAATAATTTAATTGTCAGTCAAATACTTGAGACATACGTATTTACTTTTCGTGGTTGGTATTAGGGTGTCGTGAGAAAATTGGAACGCAGTGTACATAAATGATTTATTTTCGGTTGAACAGAGTAAATAGAGAAAATAAACATATGTATGTACGGTAGGCGTATGAATCTTCGAGTATAAAAAGTGGGCTAATTCTAATAACAATAGAGTGAGAATTCCTGTTAGTGGTGCGTGCTCGAGAAAAGTTATCGACAAGGGCGGAGATTACCTATCGAGTAAAATGTTTTATCTATAGGAATATTATTCTTCAGTATAACAGTTCGTGCAGTATATGTGTAGTATTCATATTTTAATTATGCGCTTATTTTTTGTAGATTTTACGTTATTTGATTGAAAATGATGCCAATTGTCTTGTTGTGTTTTATAATTAAGTGCATAATAAATGTTGATGATGGTTACCGCACCTGACAGTCTCCAAAAATGTGTTTGTCTCTATTAAATACAGAAATAATTTAATTGTCAGTCAAATAGTCAAATGAGACATACGTATTAACTCTTCGTGTTTGGTATAGGGTGTCATGAGAATTGGTAGACAGAGTATATAAATGATTTATTTTCCATTGAACAGAATAAATTAAGAAAATAAGTGTCCATTTGAAAACCATGTACAACATTCCAGTCACCACACATTAAGATGCTAGTATTATAAAAATAAGAAGATGTGGTATAATTGCCAATGAGACAACTCTCCACCAGAGACCAAATGACACAGAAACAATTATAGGTCACCTTACGGCCTCCAACAATGAGCAAAACCGATACTGCATGTACATGTATATAGGCCCTTGCATAATGTTGATTTCTTTCCGACGCAGCTCGTATCATAAAACACAAAATCATTAACCAATGTCTTCATGAAATATAGAGTTACCTCCCATTAACCAAAATAGCGATTCTCACTTTTATAATTAGAGTTACTTCCCATTTATCAAAAAATAAATTAGTACAAAAAAAAGTTAAGATGATACTTACATACTAGAAAGTTTTTTTTTACTTTCTGGTTTACATTGTCAAAAAAGTTTCAATTTAATTCTTTGTTTACTGTCCGTCAATAAACCATATAAACTACAGTTGTTGAACCAGGCATAATTCAGCATTTCGTTTAGCTAACAGTCCAATATTTCGCTTTGTTATATCGTCAGGAATTTTTATCCTCGTTTTTATTTCTATGTTACGGACCTTTGCTATCACAGGTTTGATATTATTCAGGGATGCGATATATTGCTATGACATCTGATGGTTCTGTCTAAACATTCAAGTCCTTCTCCTTCAATTATAAGAAAAACATCTCGTAAGTTCTCATTTCTCTTTTCTGGAAAATTCACCATTCTTATGTTATGTTTCCTGGAATACTGTTCATTACAGCTTGCAGCTTTAAGTGCATCCAAGAACCTGATGTTGCAATCTGCCATTTTTTTCCTGAAGCTCTTCTATTTGCCTTTCTTTAGTTCTAAGTCTCATTTTATAGTTATTGTTATGTATATTTAGACCATATGTCTCACTTTTCAACCTTCCAGTTCTTTCCCTTAATTTGGTGTTAAATTCCTCAATAATTGACCTCTTAAGCGTAGAGAAAAGATTACTTACAACGGTTGTTACACGATCTTTGGAGCTAATAAAGTTTGAACTGTTTTATTGCCTTATTTGTTCTTAATGTCAATATTGTCCTTATTGTCTTTGGTGTTTATCTTACTGGCTTGATGTGGTGGAATGGGTATGTTTGTACTTTCAATACACTGAATAGTTATCACTCCAAAATGGTATCACTATTAAAAAAGGTTCTACAAACTGTATCTTTCATAAGTTGAAACAATATCAAAATTAAACACAAATCCAGGTTGTATGTCAAAAGTTGAACATTCTGGTATAACTTTTATCTCATGAAAATATTAAAACAAAACCATTTAAAAAATGCCAGAAAAAAGGTTGAGGTAATTCAGCTCACATTTACACAGGTGGCCATTTTAATCTTATCCCAACTTAGCTCAGAATGAAGAGCACAAAGTGTCAAATCAACAATCTTCCAGGGACATCATATCATAGATTGAAAATGAGATCAACAACAGCACAATTTGATAACACAAAGGATAGTGATGGTTGAGAAACAGCAGAAACCTGATCAAGGAGACCCGATATCGAAGAGACAATTAAACCATCTACAGATCATTGATGATATCCTATACATAGTAGTTAACAATACTAGCGAAGATGAAGTAAAGAAACAACTTGTTCTGCCATCAAAGCTCGTCACCATTATTTTCCAGTCGTACCACAACGATATTGGATACCATGAAAAAGAAAGTACTCTCTGACTACTTGGAGAGGAGACTGCTTTTCTTGGCTCGTTATAACGAGAGATGTAGGGAAAAAGCCATCTCACTGTGACAGAGGTTTACGGCGGAAATCCTTTCTTAACCCCTGAGCACCACTTGTAAGTATTGAGACCAGTGCACCTTTATAGCTTGTATGCGTCGATTATTCAATCCTGGAACCATCAAAAGGAAGACAGCAGTATGTCTTGGTTGTTACTGACCATTTTACAAGGTTTGTACAAGGAATATGACAGCAAAAACAACAGCTGAACTCCACTCAAACCAACGAGCATCGTTTGACGCCAAGCTAAATAAGGAGCTATGTACGTACCTTTACAGGAAAGGTAAATTCCCGCACCACCAGTTACCACATACAATAGAATGGACAATGCGAAAAGAAACTGGAAGGCTTTTGTTGGATCATTGGTGTATTGTTACAACAGCACCAGGCACGATTCAACATGCTACTCACCATACTTCTTGATATTTGGGAGAAATCCAAGATTGCCCGTATACATTGCTTTTAATCTAATGAAGAAAGCAAACTATCAGGACTATATCAACATCTATAAAGACAGACTGCGGAATGCACACAAGGCTGCATCAAAGATGTCAAATAAGTTCCAGTTGAAACAGAAAGAAGGCTATGATACCAAAGTTCGTGGTACAACAGTATAGAAGAGAGAGAGAGAGAGAGTACTGGTACGAATCAATGCATTTGATGGAAGACACACGCTCTCCGATAAATGGGTAAAGGATTCATACTTATTTCTGGATCATCCAAACATAGTTATTCCAGAATACACGGTGCAAAAGGAACTCTTGTGGAGAGTTGTCTCATTGGCAATCATACTACATCTTCTTAATTTTATATGGTGGTAAAAGAAACGAAATTTGCACAGAAACACTTAAAAACAAACAAATACCGAAAGCAAGGACAAGAATGCCAACAGCATTACCACCTGTAAGAGCACCTAATAGAAATACTAGTATATTAATCCCAGACTGTAGACAGATCGAATCTTCTGATGAGGAGTCAGTGGAATTGGTGAATATATACCCGATTGTGGGTGATGGCAATGACTCTTCCATTAAAGACTCAGCATCACAGCAAGGAAAACAGACTGAGGTATAAGAGACATATGGTTCGGAATATGACGGAGAAGCCTTTCTCAGATGATGAGAAAAATTCAGATGAGGAACAAAGAAGCCCTTCCAGTAGTAGGAGTGACATTGAACAGCAGAATTCACGCGAAGACATTTTGTCGTGATCGCCTCCGACTATTAGACAGTCCACCAGGGACAGGAGACAACCAGCTTAGAAGCTGACAGGTAGGTATGACAGATCGCATTCAGCCTATCCCTTAGCATTGCCTTCAAACCAGTAAAAGTCTGAAATGGACACTTTTTTTTGTTTTTGATTGTACTGATTTTTACACGATCAATCTGGAGTGGTCGGGACTTTACTCAATATGACTGTAGCCTAAACCATACCAAACAGTCTGAACTTGTACTCGATCCTTATCTTGACCATACTAAAGACATGAGCTTATAAGCGTCCAGTCTGAAACAATCTAAATCCATTCTCGACCTGTACTTGACCGCTTTTTAATGTCTTAACAATACTCAACAAAAGAACTTTAAGGTCTGAACCATACTTGACCTTAGTTTGAACTATACTCGACCAAAATCTGAACCATACTCGACCGATGTCTGAACCATACTCGACCTAAGCCGCCTGAACCATGCTCGACCAAAGTCTGAACCTTCCTTGTTTTGTTTCAAGGTTGTGACTAATTTATGTTTATGAACATAAACGTTTGGTCGTTGAAAGTGTATTTAATAAAACAAGACTCTATTTCTGACGATATGTCTTATGTAAATGAATAGTATTATTTTCACTGACAACAAATCTTCTAACAACTGTATTATGATTTGAATTATCCTAATCTTATACATACGTACTACAGCACTAGAGAGGAAACATGAAAAGTGCTTTTGTTTAGTGTATAGTCATAATCCTTTCATACTTCTTTTTGTTTGTACATTCAGTAATATCTTTTGATCGATAACAATATTACATTGGCGAACCCTGGAGATTAAAATAGGGATAAAAAAAGTATTTGACATCAGTATAAAAGTAGTAAAATGCATTGTAAACACAAATAGTTTATAAGAGACGCACCCCAACCCCAACCCGGAAAATACAATACAAAACAAAAACACACAAACTTTATCGGCTCCTGTACTACTATTTTCCATTGCCAATACAATTTGAATTGAATGAAATATATGATGAGCAATCTGCAAGCTTTAAAACTGTTTTTTTTTTTTGTAATACAAATTAAGACAAATATGTGTATTTAATTCATGCGTTTTGCAGAACACAACTGAAAGCAAAGTTTTGTACTTAGTTTCAGTTCAATGATACCACCATCACTTGCACAAAAAGCGTATACATCAATTTTGGCATATGAACTACAATAATATGATGTTTTCGCAGGATAAACATATGCTAGTGTTTCTATCTCAAAAGTATCATAACTGATGGGGGAAGCAATCGGTCCACTACATGTGTAGTCAAATTCTGAAATAGTAATCACTAATATTTGTTCCTATCTGCCAGAGAGTCTTTTTTTTAAATAGAAAAGAATTGGATTTCTGCTTTCATGCATGCTACACTGTGAATTTTTTTGTTTTTTCATATATCAGAATCTTGTTCAAAAAGAAAACAATTTGTTGTCATATACTGAATGTAAATATATATAATAATTATTGTTACTTCTGAGTCTAATTGCAGAAATGTATTTCCGGACAGGGTAACAATTTCATACGGAAATTGCAGGTAACAATAATACAAATTTTTGTTACCTGCAAAAATATCTTCAATTCAGACAGACATTTATCTAAAAGATGTTTGATTTGAGTTCAATCTGTGAAATACATTTAAACAATTTAATAATGATGTAAAAGTCATAAACATGATTAAACTTCCAGATGTATTGACCATTACGACGTTCTCATTTGCCAAAGGGGACGATTTAAACAACTCACTATTTTTATTCAGAGGAACACTGTGTACCAGTTCAGAAATTTCCTATGAAATGTTTTGACGAGAACATTTTATATATTATCTCAATCGAATCAAATAGTATTTATCAGATGAGTCTCGGAAAATGCTAAAAACAAAACCACAAAATATCGCTAAAGAAGGACATAGCAGAATGGAACTGTTAAGTGTGCGACACAGACGTGCATATATATGGATCTATCGTTTGCGACGGTTGTCTTGAGTGGTACCACATTCAATGTGTTGGCATCAAAATATACTGGATATGCAAGAAGTGTCACCAAATAGCTAAAATAATTTTGAATATGTATGAAAGAGAGGTCAAACATACCAAAGGGGTATGACTGATTTCCTATGTTGTCTATACTAAAACATGGACTTTGCCGTTTTCAGAATTTACTGGGCAAACATTCCCATTCGCAACTCCTCCTGAACCAAAGACTCGATTTGATAAAGCCTTTACGGATTCTTGATGACATAATTATTGCCATTGTGCACTTCATATTTCCAATACCAAAACATGGACTTGCCATTTCATATTATACTGAGTGAACATCCCCATTCAGCAACACCTGCTAAAACAATGACGTCGTATTTCAATCAAACTTTATAAATTATACATGACATTATGCCAATGTGACCTTCTATTTTACTATTTGATCATAAATATTTCTGTGGTTCCCAATACAAAAACATGGACCTTGCACGTGTTGAACATCCCCCTGCCGAACACCTCTTACATCAAAGATTCGAATTAAATCAAATTTTACTGATTCTAAAAGACATTATGTCACTGTTTACCTCTTGTTTGAATTTTTGATCCAAAGAATTTCTGGGTTGTCCCCTACCACAATATTTACTTTCATATCATGATTTTCAAATATCCTATCAAACAATCATGCTAAACCAGTATTAAAATTTATTCAAAATGTTAAGGATTCTTCATTACATAATTTCATTGCGCACTCCCTACTTTTGATTTATTATTATTCATACACTTTTGTTTTAAGACTGACTTTTTGGTTTTCCCATACACAAAAATAGACTTTTCCCTTTCAAAATTTTTACATTCCCAATCGCAACTCCTCCTAAAATGGTGAAAGGTTTTCAAACAAACCTTTACGGATTCATCATGACAAAATGCCATTGTGCACCATTTATTTTACCTTTTGACATCCTTAATGGTGTCACGTGAGTAGAGGGAGTTGGGTATCAATTTGAGAGCCTTTCCCGCAATACTTCATTTTTTGATCTCCTAAAAGTGTATTTTGCAAAATATAGAAAATGCTTCATTTAAAAAAAATACCAAACTCCAAGCTAAATTCATAAGAGGGAAAGTCCATAAACACTGACAAAATCAAACGTTATCAACAAACGGAACGAAATGTCATAATACTGACTTTGTACAGGCATTTGCAGAAGAAAATGGAGGTCAGACCTAGTTGTATAGAAAACGAAACCTTCCACTTGTATGACAGGTATTCATAGTTCCGTTATATATATTGACAAAATTGGATGAACAACCCAAACAGACACAATAGGTAAATGGGACAATAATATGGTGGACAAAATAAACAGACATAATAGGTTAATGTTAAATATAATTGGGATCCAGCAACCAAAACTTTGTAAACGTACATCACCGACATACAAATGACTAACAAATTCCCAAAACATATAACCATATCAAACAAAAATAAAAACGTTGATAGTATATTTGACAAAGGCACTGGTAAAAAATGTTTGTGTAGTTGATAGTACATACCGTATACAGTATACACTTTCTCACTAAAGTACAGATTAAGTAAGAGATAAATACAGTGTAAACAAAATTGAAAAACATTCGGGGAAAAGGGGACGGGATTGTAGCGATAATTGGAACTTATCCGTTGTCATCTGTGAAACAGATATTCCATAACGGTTAACTAACTCATGATGGCCTCCGTAAAATGTAAGAAGGGATAATTTCAACTTCACCACTTGGAATTCTTGGTTTAATAGTTTCCTTGAAAGCGGCAACCCTCTATCAAGGAAATCATGATAGGAAATACAAGCCATGGAGTATCATATCAACTGGGAGATATATACTCCGTATGCAGGCGCTGCTGCAATGTAGCTAAATAGAAATGGAAACGTTCTTTTTATCGGTAAATTTAAAGTCCGAAAAGAACTTGAAATGCATGCCGAAGATGCTCAAGCCTTAATTGATTGTACGTGTACGATAAATGTAATAGCATTGTGATTTTATACTTTAAACATTAAAAAAGCACTATAATTTAAGGAGACATAAGGTTGTGGTAGAATTCATATTTAAAATTTGAAACATCCCAATTGTTTTACAAAATATCTTTATGTTCTACTGTTCAACTTGGGTATCATGTAGAAGATATTTTTACTACACCTTTTTATTTTTACAAAATGTGAATCATAGGTTAACAATACAATAAAGAGTCGGAGTATTTTTATTTTTTTTTTTTTGCTTGAAGTTTGTGATTAATCTATTTTTATTAATATAAACTCTAGGTCATTGAAAGTGTAATTTATAAAACATGCCTGTCTTTCTAGCAAGCTGTCTTATATAAATACTATTGTTTTAAGTAAATCGGCTAATTTAGTTGACAAAAATTTTGCCACAACTTCATAATGATCTGAATTCTTATAATCATATGCAAACGTATAACTGCACAGGGAAGTAAACATGAAATATGCTGTTTTTTTGTTTAGTTGTATAATGATGGGTAAGTTACTTACATTAGGTTAAACAAAAAAATTGAAAAAAATCATCATCTCAACATTGAAAAACATGTGCTTTTTAAGACCTTACAATAGTTACAACTAATGTCACAAAGAATTATAATAATAATAATATACGTAAACAGACATCCAAATGGAGGGTTGAATGTAATGTTCATACAATCTTTGAGAGTCATGTTTAATGTATTAACAGTTTAAACTGCGTGCAATTAAATGCAAGTCATATTGAATTTACATTTGTCTACCTTTTTATTATTTAAAATATTATATTTAATATATATATAATTTTAAAGCTTTTTTGGTGCAGAGTG